TTTTAACACCGTTATCGTGAATCATGTCGTGCAATATTACATGCATTATTGTTAGTTTGTTTTGATTCCCAAAAGGTACAAAATTTATCATACTACATATAGTAAAGTAAGTACCACATTTTTCATATTCATTGCACTACAAATGATTAAATTTATTAAAATTAATGTAATTAAGTTTTTTTTTTTTTTTTTTATACTTATATGCATTTCCGATATAGTTTTAAACGACCCGATGGTCAAGTGAAACCATAAATAATTATTTTTATGGATATTGTATAATTTAAATAAATTAAGAATGATACCATAAAATCTCATAAATAATAAGAGTTTTTTTTTTTTTTAATTATGTTGTGTATATATTAAATAAGTTTGACCTAAGCGACTATAATGCATAATAAAGGTAACAAACTTTTGAGTATTATTATAAGTGGTGTTTTTTAGTTTACGCAACTTGAAAGTTTTGATATTACTTTCCATATCTGTATAACCTTTATAATTTTATCCAACCATAAATTATAACTAATGCAGCTCATTTTTTCTAAATTTACATATTTATAAAATCCATGATACACAACTTTTTTTTTTTTTTTTTTGATCAACGATGGATTAGTTTCGGAATTTTTTTTAATTGTTCTTGTATTCCTACTCTGGTAAAAAAAAAAGAAAAAATAGTAAAGATATTACTATTTTCTAAAATGGCTCATCTTGTTGAGTTACGACATTCTTTTTTCTATTTTAACATTCTAGTTTAATATTGTTAATGATGATCACCTTTTCTTTTTTTTTCACCCCCCCCCCCCTAGTCCGAATAATTTTTTTGCCGTGTCGCTTATCTCGGTTTGTGTTGGTTTGTTGTTTATTATGTAATGTAAAGTATCAGTTCGAACAATAGTTAAATATTTTGTAAAAATCAATGTACCTGCATCCAATTCTAAGTACCTGCATATATTTTTTTCTAGTAAAATAATTGCCATTGCCATTATTCAAGTACATTATTAGTATAGTTAAAAAATGCAAAAGTTCGAGTTTGACTAGTGTTTTATGCTATAAACTTTATTTGAGGTTAGCTAAACCTATTTCTTGAAATCTCTTGATGATTTTTTAAATAATCAAGGTTATTCTGATTTAAAAAAAAACTCCAGTATTACAGTATTACGAAATTGATAACAAATAATGACATTTCTCATCAAAGAGAGCGATCTGGAGAAGTCATATGATTATTATGATATCATACATCAGGGTAAATTACGGAACCTAGCATATAAGAACCAACCTCTGAAAAATACCTAGCATATATTGCAGTATTAGGAAAGATTACAAGTTACATATCTAATTAATATAAAAATTTCTTAAATCATAAACTGTCAAACCCGTTTTAACTGGTGCTTTGTATCTGCGTCATTATACCTCTTTTTAAATAATCGACCATCATTACCCATCACTTCTTGTTTAATATTTCACGTCAAAATTTTTTACGCATTGACAAACATGATATCCCATATAAATTATATACAATATATACAACGTTTGCAATAAAAATTAAAAATGTTCGATATAAATAAAATTATCAATAATTGGAAAATGAAACATGAATTTCTAATTTGATTTCATTTTCAACGCATGTACGTACGTACGTACGTACTGTACGTAAATACGTGCATGGGTGTGTCAAATAAAAGGTGATCTAATTCCTAAAATACCAAAATAATTGATGATCCTGTTCCAATAATATTTCAATATATATTACAGTATTAAGTAACTTGCTGATCTTATAACAATAATTGATCTTAACTGTATTATATAGGGTTTCGCCGAAAGATCATCCATGCTCTGTATATCGAGTATATCGCGAAGTTAGTTTAAAAGATGTAGATTTTCACCAGATATATTATTTAAGCTTAACGTTTATGTACATAGCACGTATGTGCGTACGGACGGACGTACGGACGTACTTAACTGTTAATAGTACTATTAATTATCTATTATTAACGTCAATTAATTACATATGTATATATATACTTATTTATTAAATTATATATTAAGTATAAATTCACGTGACATAGGAATTTGAATTTTTTTTTATCGTTACCACCTATCAACAGAATTTAATTTATTTTTTTCAACTTTTTACTCAGTTTTATCATATTTCTCTGTAGAAATATGTGTTTGTGGGAACCTTACATTTTTTGCATGCATTTAACCATAACAAAATTTATTTCTTATGTGTAGGTTGAATGTAACTAACTATGCATAATTTGAAATGTTACCCGTATTAGTAAGATTATTAGATTGTTGTAATTGGAATTATATACTATTATAATATTTTTTTACAGTAGACTTGACTCCTTCTCTAAGTGCATTTTCTCTAAATGTAACTAATATAAAACTATATATATATATATTGATAAATAAATTTCTTATCGATAAATAAAGTAAATGAAAAAATGGCAATGATTTTCTGGTAAAGTAATAAAGTTGATTAACCCAAAATATTTTGATCAAACAGATTAGATTTTGTGGTGACCTTGGCAATGGCATGATAACTAAAGATTCTAAAAATATAATAGTACAAAAGTATACGTGTGTTATCATGCTTCATGTGAGCTACGCTTGTTATAGGTTCGGATAACATTGTTATGCGATGAAAATTTTTGTACGTGCGTAAGTTATATACTGAACGCAACGTTGTTGGTCGGAAGACTGGAAATTTTAACCTTCCAATAAATTACAATTTCAGTGCTTCCGATATTTAATCTTCATTGGAAAGTGTGGGAATGTTTGCTTAACAATAATTAAATAATTTGTAAGAGTTCAAAAAAAAAAAAAACGGTAAATACTACGTATAGTAATTGTATTTCAAAAATTTGCTAATTATTTAATACTTAATACTCAAAGTAAAAATACTTGGCATCCAAAACCTCTTTTCAATACTAATTTCTAACTTCTAAAACTTAAATTTACTTGCCAAATTTTTATCATAATAAATATTTTAATGTAATTCATTTCTCAATAACTAATAATTCTAAATATAAGAAAGGTTATTCATAAATAATCGAAAAATCCTGGCGAAAAGTTAAATTTGTAAAGAGATTTTAATATTGTATGTTAAAATTATTAATATATATAAGAAATTTGTGCTTACCTCATCAGGCATAGGATCTGCTGGCACATTCTTTAATACAACCAATTGCAGACCTTCTCTTTTAATACTTGATTTAATAAAGTCTATACTTTCGTTCTCTCAATTTATCCATTCTGCAGTGTGTATAGTACTGAGACCACCCACATATTTAGGCTTTACATTTTGAAACCTTTCTTCTGGAATATATCCATCAAATAATTTAACTCCGAGAGACACTTCAATAAATTTCAGAACTATTTGAAAAATTTTATTTTCCTGTATATTATGTATAGTATTCTTTTCCCACGAGTGTTCTTTATATTTATTAACAAATAAAACTTTCGGTAGTTGTGAAAAATAAATATCTTTTGCGCATGAACTACAACAATATTTGGCAGAATTCTCACGTTCACATCGCGAAATTCACCATATTTTCCCTCAAATTCATGCTCTTGGTCATCTAGAGATAATTCGTGTCGGTTTTGGTTAATGAATTTCTCTGAAAATTAACGTCAAATAGTACTAGTGTGTTTGTTAAATGTAGGATATGATCAGAAGGTTTAATTTCATTATCCATTTTTGTCGACATTTTAATTATGTACATATGGAAAGCTTATTTCTAAGATTTTCGCAAATGAGAATGATGAAAGATTCACAACTCATTAATAATCAAGAATTTCATCATTATTTTGTGCGTAGAATTATATAACAGAAATTTTGTCTGTGATTGTAGCATCTATCTCTTGCCAAAATGCCTCAAATTCGTTATTTTGTGTATATGATATCTACCCTTTTCTGTATTCCGATTATCATCATTACTTGATGCATTTCCATTGTAACCTTTATTGCTGGAGTTGTGGTATGCTGAATCATGTTGTTATAATGAAAATAATCTATAAAGCTTTCTTACTCTAACGTTGCCTTGGCTACTTCCAATCGCAAGCGTTCTTATAATGATCACTTTTATTAGCTTATCAGTTATTTAGAAATAAAGGGAATTATACTAGTCCTTAACTTTGGGTCTGCAAGATCAGCTGATCGAACATGCAGATACTGTCACATATGAGTGCCGTCAAGGGAAAACCCACATGCTGGCTTTTAATTATTTGTGTACAGTTAGTCGTCTATGGAAAATCTATCATCATGATAGATTTTCCATAGACGACTAACTACACACAAAATATAATTGAAAGCCAGCATGTGGGTTTTCCCTTGACGGCACTCATATACGTACGTATAAACCTCCTAAAATTCTACAAATCCGCAGCCATGACCCCAATTTTTGATGAGATTCGAGAATATGACACGAAAGAATTTATTGAATATTTGCAGGCTGTGAAGATATTAAAGTTTAATGAGAAACACTTTGAAATTATTAGAAAGGCGGAATCACTGGTGAAAATTTCTTAACAATTACTGAAGAAGAACTCAGCAGTATTGGTTTTAGCATTAACCCTAGCTGCCGTAACAAAATGATACGGCGGATTCTCGATTTTGATTGGCTAAGAGAGACGATCAAAAAATTAGGCCGGAATTACTCATAATTTTACTAATGAAATCGCAACCGCCCATTAAGTTAATAAAAGCAGAAATGGATCAGCCCGGTCCAGTTCGTCCCGGTCTTTAATAAGACCAGTCTCGGTCTCAAATATGGTGCTAGTAGAGAGTCAGTATAGTTGTTAGACGAAACCATGTGATGCTAAATATCACATATCTAAAAACTAGATTAAATTTTTAGGTCTTGGTATTTTATGATAGGTGATGATTATCATCACATGGTTTCGTCTAACAACTATATCAGTAGAGAGTGTTAAATTAGATGATGTCAGCAATTGAAATAAGCGAACATGTAACATACTTTTTTTAATAATTTTAATTAGCTATTTTAACTATTGATGAAGACCCGTCCGGACTAGTTTCAAGACCGAGGTCCGAATAGTCATAAGGCTGGTTAGGTTTTTCAGGACTGATCCTACTACAAAGTATAATTCAAATAAAGTAGGTATATGGATAAGGTAAAGGATAAGTGAATGGTGAAAGATAAGGATTGTAAGGATTATAATTAAGGTACTCCGAATTAAATATGTTTAAATCTCCTGTTATGCTTCGTTGATAGAAAGCAAATATTGTGACATTAAGTTCCTAGTTAGCATAGTTTATAGCAAAATATGAATGGTCAAATTAAACATACTTGTAATTTCCTGAGAGTTTTCTGAAATTTCATTTGATAAATTTAGATTGTTGCCTATTAACTGGAAATTATATTTGTTCACATTCTGATTGACAAGTTCATTATTATTTTCTGAATTTATTTCTCCATGCTGAGAATGATTTTCATGAATAGTTTTTGACTTTGTTTTAGAAAAATCACAGATGCCTGTTTTCTGTTCTTGATTTGGTCAAGAAGAGATTTCATTTATTGAAAGATGACAATTTCTTTTAGTTCTTCTCTTTTTTTCATGTGGACAGCGAGGTTGGTATTTGTATTCAGAGTATTTTTGCATATGCTCTAATTTGGCAATATCAGCCAAAAGCTGGAACTTAATTTTTACTTTCAAAGACTCTTTATGCCACATGTCACTAACTCTTTTTGAAACTTTATTATTTGAAATATTTATACTAGTAGCAACTATTGCTAGTTGCTTGGCTTGGTGGTAGAGAATAAAAGCATTAGGAGGACAAGAAGGTTTTTTTTTTTGCACTAGCATGTTTGGAAATTATAAGGAGCTTAGAAGACTTCTCTGAAGTTTTTAGCAGTTTAGAAAGCTCCTCATTACCATTATTTTTTACTAAAAAATCATGATGCTTTTTTTCAATGGATTGTATTGCAAGATGCTGTAATTGCAAAAGATAAACTAAAAGAACATTTATAGTTTTTTTTGGATTAATATCATTAGACATTATGATTGAGCAAAAACAAGTAAAAGAGCCAGAATAAATAAAGTTTTTAGCATTGTGCAAATTATATTACCTTTATCAAATCAAGCAACTTAATAAAATTAATTGATTATTAAATTACTGAATCTTTAATAAATTCTTTAAACAATCAACTCTTCCCAATGATCATTTGGACCAACTTTTTAAAACCAAACTTTCAATAAAAAACAGTAAAACTATGTTAGAG